AATTAAAAATTATGGATATTTTATCACTTTCTTCCATATCGGTTTTCTCTCTATATCTGAGTAGAGATTCTCGATCCATAAACCTAATTTCTTCAATTTCTTTATTTAGGCGATCTATTTGATATAAAAGAGAAAAATACAATTTGTGGCGCTAGAATGAATAGCAGCTAGAACACACTAGTGGGTACAATCACAATAACCCCACAGAAACATCAATATACAAAAAACAGAAAAAGTGTGCAGCGCACATACCAGACCCACAAGTCTTATAGGAATATAAACACAATCAGTGAATATGTGATAATAAAAAAAAGGAGATAAATACCCCAATATTTTGAGGGTCATAAGTATTTGTCAGATCCCATATAGAAGCTGGTTCAAGTGGTGTCACTTTAAGATGTCTCAATTCAAATCTTGAGGTTACTCTCAGAGATGAAGCTTGGTCCTCAGAATATGCAAATTATTGAGCAAGCAAACATCAAATTAGAAGAGTATAAAAAACACATTTATTACAAGTAAATAAAAAACCTTTCATTGAGGTCTTGTAAAATCAGCAAAAATAGCAGCATAGGTAGTAGCACAACGCGTTTCAACGATCAATCTCGTCTTCCTCAGGTGCAGTTCACAATATTGCATAAAGTCCATACATTTAAAGGCCTTTTGGCGCGGAAAATCGGTTATTTAGGACCTGTCCCCTTTGCCATCGGACCAATCAACAAGAGCCAAATGATTTCTCCTTTGCCGTCTGCAATTTCCGGATTCATGCGTTCCACTGCTTTTACTTCTGGTATCGCATGCGTTCCAATGTGCGTCTCACAGGGGGCACTTCCGGTTTTGCTTGCGGTTTGAGTCTCCCAGCAGAGAAATCCATGGCAAAGTTCGTAATGCTGCTAATCTTCAAGCTCACATAAACATAGTCACATAGTATATATGTGCACATAGGTGCACATATATGTATGTACAAAACATATAATAGAAGGAGAGTAAATAAAAAGGAGGAAAGTTAGTAATGACCACAACTTACTAAATTATTAAAAAATACATACGTATAGGTATATAATAAAATATATAGGTAAAACCCAATAGAAATGTATTCACCAGGTATACATAAATTAAATATAATTATACATTTCGAAATCAATATTTAAACCACACGGAGAGAGAGTTTCCAGCTCAAAGATCCATTTCATTTCTGTTCTATTCAAGATCTTGAGATGGTCCCCCCCTCTCCAAGGTTTTTGAAATGTATTTTCGAAATGTATAATTATATTTAATTTATGTATACCTGGTGAATACAGTAAATTCATTACTGGTAATACTTTCTATTTCTTTTATTTCCCTTTTATTAAAAAAAATGTAAGCATAGCTTTCTCATAAACTTATTAATATCAGTATATGCATCAAATTTATTGATAATGCAACTGGGAGCAAATTTAAAACCTTTATTAAAAATTTGATTATGGGTGGGGTTCAATACTTTTTTAGAAAGATTAAAAATTCTTATCTCCTCATAATTTTTCCTTTTTGGTCTCTCCAATCTCTTTCCTCCCCTATTTCCCCTTCTTCTATATCTCTGTAACGTCTCTTGATAGGAATCGGTGTTCTTATTGGTGACTTTCTTATTGGTGGTCCTCTCCTCCCTCTACCTAAAAAAGGGGTTTCCCCATTATCATTCACATTCCTAATGGATCAAAACGGTTATAAGTCTATATTTCCCTTCTCTGGGGGGGAGGAGACTTTACATAATTAGAAGTCTGATTGGACCTTCTATTATTATAATTTTGATTTTCCTTATTATAGTTGATCCTATTGTTGTATACCGATTCCTTCTTTTTACCTCAATCCAACCCTGGGTTTGTTCACGTCTCCAGGGAGGCCTTTCTCTAGGTGTTTTATAGTATGGTTTAGCTTTTTCAATTTTAGGTCTTTGTATATTAACCCTTGAATGATTGGGTTGGTTAATTTTAGGTCTTTTTCTTAGGCAATTATTTGCGTAATCATTCACATCACTGTGATATTTTTTATTTTTATGTCAATAGTTGTTTCTAGTTGATCTAATTGCCCGGTTATTTGGCAGGTGATAGATTAAAAATCACTGGTTCCAATAAATGGCTCCAGTTATTTATGAATTTCACCAATGATTTTGTCTAGTACCTCTAAATTTTTTGTTCTC